AGAGAGAGAGAGAGAGAGAGAGAGAGAGAGAGAGAGAGAGAGGCAGAGACACGACCAATGGATGACCAACTAGACATAGACACAACAACTCCCTAAATACCAGCTTTGACGCCTCACCCACAGGAACATAATTGGAATCAATCCTGGAGCAACAATGGTCCTGCCGCCTGCGTGTCAGCCAATGTGCCAATCTTTCGCCATTAGCTTTCATTCGTTTACACCTTTTTTTACGACAAAGAGAATCTCAAGATATTCAATGTAGCTAGACAAGCTGCAAAAAAGAACATTATAGTTCCAGAAGTGTACACTTTTGATAAATCTAAGCTGTGCCCTAAATTCCACAACAAATGTCGAATTCCGCTGCTCATATGACAGCATAGTTCGAAGAAAGCTATAAATTGAACAAACTGAAATCCACTTCTGTCAACGGTACCGAACTCGGACAAAGGCAAGACCAGCGCTGGTCCCACACATGACCCACATGGAAGGTTCCAGTTGAGGGCCAAAGTTGGCCTCCACAGAATTCTGAAGGCCAGTCCCGGACCACAACAGGAAGCTATCGCCAGTTTTGTCCACGACTGGCCTCCACGTGACCCAGATGCTATCGCCAGTGTTGTGGGCCATAAGAACCTGATCAGCCAATCAGGTCAGGTCTCATACAGACTCAGAACCGCTTTCCATCCTCCGCCCTTGCACATGCCCCTATCCTGCACGCCTTTTCGCCCCCCTACATCGCCCCTGATTCCCCTACGGATAACTGTTTATAGAACATCAACAGCGTAAACGGGACATGGTACATAACACTACATCCCAACCATGCTACATAACACAACAGAATCTGTTAGCAAGCGGCCTAGGAGGGAGAAATGGACAAACAGAATCTATTACCCAGAGGCCTAGGATTGAGAAATGGACAACACGACTGTATGTAAGTGCTACCACACAAGCGAGAGCAAAACTCAGACGGAGTCAGACCTTTTTAAGTGCAGAAAGCGATTCTGAAAAATGGCTCGTTCTACTTGTGAAGAGAATCAGGAGCGAGTACAGAAACAGCGCGCAGATTCGGACCTTAGAGTCTGTGCGGGTGTGTAATAGGATTATTATCTAGTATGCCAAAGAACTATCCCGTTGGCCTTGGGCTGTGTGCACTCGGGCACACCGTAATACCACAATCGAGTGTGCCAAAAACCTATTGTCCTTGGCCTTGGGCCGTGCACAGCCAGGGCTTGGTTGGTAATGATTTCTGACAGGTGTAGATCATGCACTCAGGCATCTGCACAGACAGGCGCAGCCTGACATGGCCGGAAAAAATGGAAGTTGCAAACCCTAAACCGCCAGTCCCTTTCCCGGCTATTTCTCCCAACGGGGCGGTGATTAAACCACGAGCACATCTGAGTCTCTTTTGTAAAAGCTGGACTCCCCCTGCGCGCCAAGCTTTGCCAAAACGCCAGCAGCGCAGTGCTTTTTCTTTTCTTTTGGCTAGCGCCATGAGCCGTTTCTGTCCAGTAGTCCCAAGCCTCCAAACTTTGCGGGATGGGATGAGCAGATTTCAATTCTTGAGTTTGCCTGGGTCGTGTAAAGATGGTTTGACCCGCCATGTTAGCAGGGGTTCAACAACCTAACCGGACCAGAACGGCCCGCGGCACCAGCCAGAAAAAAAAAAAAAAGAAGTGTGTCCACGACTCCATGTTAATTCGCACTATTCTGGCATGCACCAGCAATCCAGGTTGGGAAAGAGAGGCTCGGAGGGACTGGTGGTTTAAACTGCCACAACCGCCACTACCTTTCTCATATGTCGGCGTCCGCCGCGGGATGGGTCTCACTTGTTTCAGGGGCCGGTAGCCGCAGGTACAAAATATTAGCGCACGTCGGGCAGCGATTTCTCCGAAATACATCATTTTCCCAAATGGGACCACAGCTGCGAATGGTAGCGGTCGTTTAACAGGGTTTGTTTCACATACGAGCATTCCCTGAAATTTTTAGATAGAAACTTCAACACCGATGAGCTCAGAAAGACCACAGAAGTCGGGGAAAAAAAGCAAAAAGAGAGAGAAGTTCTGACAAAACATATAAGAAATTTTGAATGCCTGCGAAACAAATATAACGGCGACCTTCATTGACTTCACGACACGATTTGACTTCACGCAACCACCCCTGCTGCAAAGCACTCAACCGGGTAAAGCACCAGCGACGACACTCAAGGGAAAAGCTAAAACACATGACGTTGAGATTCACCTTGTGCGCCAGCATACAAACAGTCCCCGGAGGTAGCCTGCCATCCTTGCTTCCTTCGCCCAAAAACAAGAAAGTCTGCTCTGATCTCTGGATTCTCAGCCCATCAAAACCTGCAAGTGTCATGTCTGCCCGCAATGCTGCCCCACGTTTCCATATCCTGCAGAAGAGGAAAAAGTTGAGAAATTTAGAATACTACTACACACGTCCACATCCTGGTGAAGGGGGAAAAAAAAGTCTGCAAGAAGGTCACGCTTCATCAACACGGGGATCTGATTTGAACACGTGCACAGGTAAAAGAAGTCGCCACTGGGATCTGATTTGAACACATGCAAGGGTAAAAGAAAAACAGATCAACTGCACGATACCACGGCTAATGCGCCCGATACCATCTGAACTCGGAAGCCAAGCGCCGTCGGGCCGGAATAGCACTGGGATGGGTGAGACCTCCGGGGAAGTCCCGGTGCTGTACCTACAGGCAAGATCAACTGCACAGAACAGATGACATACATAACAAAGGAAATCGCGTGCTATCAAGTTATACAGCATCTGAAACAATTATGAATCGGTCACAGACTATACAAAGCTAGAAAACCACTTCGAGAGGCAGAGCGTAGTTCTGAAAATATTGCTAGAGACTTAGTTAGATAAGTGTATTTATCAGTAGCCTCCAAAGAATAGAGTGGTGTGGGGACCACAAGGCCCAGATTTCAGGGAAGAAAAGTTGTAAAAAAGATTACTTATAAACGAGCAACAGAATATTTTAGATATTAGATACCCCTTTCGGGAGAACCCCAAGAGGTCGATAGCAAAAGAGCGAGTTCCGCATGCGGTGGAATGTATACACATGCGAACAGATCATCATGAGTTTGAATCCTCCTTGTGCTCACTAATCCCCTCTTCCTTCATTTCTGATTTTCCCCTTTTGTTTTCCACAACTATATCTCACAGGTCAGTTCCATGTTAAGCCACGAGTACATGCCATATATCGGCTGCGGGCCCTGTTAGGAGGGCCGAGACGCAACGTGGGCCACCGACATATTTTATCGACAGCGCACCGACTCCGTCTTTTTCGGAGGAGGTGACAAACAATTCTCCACGAGGTTGGGGCCGTGTACTAGAGGTTCAAGTGTCTTGCCCGTGGTCTACAGTCTTTGCCCGAATAGAAAACCCGGCCATAATCGCTGTACGTAGACTGAAAGTTGCCCCAAACACAGATATAATGACGGAACGTCCTATTCGGGTGAAGGCGGTCGTGCAATGACCACAGGCAGCAGTAGCAATCAGCTGCAGACAGTGGTAACAACCTGAACACAATCCTCACTGTTAACCTCACCATCCCTCGGCCATTGCTGTGAACTACACGCATCCAATCAATCATCATTATCCTAGAGTCATCATCATCATCATCATCATCAATGCCAATCATCACAAACACACTAATTTTCATTGTCATCCCCGCGCTCCCGCCATTCACAAACTTACCCTCTTCTCATATGCGTCCAACAGAGATGATAGAAAGGTTCAACTACAAACACAGAAGGCTGCAGCGTCTCTAATCACCACCCCAATTTCCCTCCAAATGCACCCGGGATCCGGGATTGGAAACTGCGACTATCACCGTCACCGATATGGGTTGGGAAAAGGGTAAAAGGGTCGTCAGTTAAGGATGCTCGATGTTCCGGTCCAGGATCAGTGAGGATCTCATCAGCCAGAAGTTTCTAGTTTTCCGGTCCGGGATCCATAAAAAAATTGCCCCGTATAGGTTCCCGGTTCCTACTAGTAAGAGATAGGAGCTCATCTCGGGCTGAGTTAGGGAGGGACCCCACAGCACGCCGTTTATTGGATTTTTATTCCGATGTGACCTGGTGGTTTACCCCTGGGGCTCGGACAGATTTTTTTTTTTTTTTTTCATATTATAAAAACCCCAGGTTGTTGTAGAGGTGGGTTACTAGACGGATGGCAGTCACCCACAGGACTCGGCCACTCGGTTGTTCAGATGAACCCCTCTGAAGACCCCACCCACCGGACAGATTCTATCGCGTGTGTGACAGTTTTGACCTATTTTTTTAATTGCAATTGTATTTTTTTGCGTTTGTTTGGAAAATGAGAAAGTTATTTTCGAAGTTTATTAAAACAAAGCGCAGCTGAGGCAGCACATGAACAATGCTGCCACTATGCGTCACATTCGGCTGTCAGCCTGCAGAGCTGGATTCAGCAAAGTTCAACGAATGTGGACTTTTTTGAGCCACTTCCGCGAACCAGACCGAGGTCAGAAATGACCCCTCCCCCCAATAAAACATATGGAGAATGAGTCGCTGCTACAGTGACTTCGGGAAAGAAAACAACAAAAATGCTCTTTTTTTTTTTTTTTTTAAATGCTCTATTTTCCTGTGACACGGTTGGCTGGAATGTAAGTGTGGGAATCAAAGACTTCATTACTGCGCATTGATTTGCCACATGCATCAGGGGCGGAAGAACCCGTTTTCCAGCAGGTGTTGCTCCCCACCAATAGATGGAGCCTCCCCGAGCATATACTAGAGGCGTCTGCTCTTAATTCTGGACGCAGAACAGTCGTTCATCCATTTCATCGCATTTCATTGACATCCGAACATTCATATGCGGTCAAGACTCACAACCAGACTACACCTGGCTGTGGCCTCCGTACACAGCCACTGATCCCGACTGAGATGAACTTATCCTCTGCCTGAGAACCTATTCTATTCCCATGCCAGTTGAGATGGAAGAACAAGCAGGAAATGAAAAGTAACGCCTTCTTTTCCTTGTCATCGTCAACTTTCCACATTATATCAACAGAAATTCACACGTAAGTTGAATTAACTGAAAAGAAAACACGATAGATATGTGTCTACAAGGTCCTGACAGTGTAACTAGAGAAGAGCTGACCTGTATGTATCAGAAGGAGCAATTCGCCCGATGAATGGGATCACAGAGCTTTCAAAATTCCATGTCACTTCCATATAAAAGTCTCGCATCCGTTTCATCGTCGCAGACAGACGTGGCAACCTCCTGCACCACTTCGCCCATGCCTGCACAAGCACCAAAGACGACATCGTCACTAACCCCCTTCTCTCTCTCTCTCTCTCTCTCTCTCTCTCTCTCTGTGTGTGTGTGTGTAGCATGCACACGTCGGTCAGTTCAAGATGACATCTCAAAAGAGGCCATGGCCATTAAAACTGCCGGCTCACCCGGAGCAGAGTACTGCTCTTACCGGTTTATGCAGTAAGAACATTTTCATTCGGCCTGGGGCAGTGGCGAAAGCGGCAGGTCACTCTGAAAAGGCACAGTTGCAGGCTCGCAAGCCTTGGAAGGTAGCTTCGTGAACTTAAAGACTCGCATGAACTGGTGGTCAACAACAACAAAAAAAAAAAGAACCTCCGAGGCAAGTGCTCGCGGTCCTCAACTGCCAATGACGCGTTCCTTCTCCCCAATTCATCCCACCCACTCCAAAACCACCATCTCTCTAAACCCTCTCCCGAAATTACCCTTCAATGTCCCCCCCTCTCTGCATATATCCCGTCACCCTGCGAATAGATACCCACCTCCCTCCCTTCCTCCCCCTTCTCATACGCTCTCACCTGCACTTGGCAAACCCTCCAAATTGCCATCCACTTCCCTCTCTCCTTCTCCGCCCTTACCTGGATTTGCCTCAAAATTGCCGTCCGACTCCTTCCCTCCCTACTGCTCCCCCTCCTCCCTCTCCCTCCCTTCCTCCCTCTCCCTCCCTTCCTCCCTCTCTGACTCCTGCCTCTCCTTATCCCCCTCCCTCCCTTCCGCCCTCCATTCCTACCCAATATACAGTCTCCCCTGCACATGGCAAATCCTCCAAATCGTCATCCAACTCCCTCTCCTCCTCCTCCCCCATTACCTGGATTCAGTACCCCTCCAAATTAACATTCACCTCCCTCCCACTCTCCCTCCCTCCCTTTCTTTTCCCCTCCTTATACGATCTTACCTGCACTCAGGAACCCTTCCAAATCGTCATACAGCTCCCTCCCTTCTCCGCTATCACCTGGAATTCACAACTCTCCAATTCGTGATCTCCCTCCCTCCCTCCCTCCCTCCCTCCCCCCCTCCCTCCCTCTCTCACGTTCTCTCTTTCCTTATCCCCTCTTACCTGGACTTGGTAATGCCGCATGATGATGGTGGCAATGCCTTGTTCCCCATTACACACAGCCTCTTGAAGCGCCGTCCACCCCGCCTCATTTTGCAAGCTGACATCAGCACCAGCCGCCATCAACAGCTCCACCGCCTGCGGATCAACTAATCTCACCGCGAGGTGAAGAGGGGTCTCCCCGCCAATCACGTCGCGCTTATCCAGAACCAGAGATGCGTCCTCTGCGCGCTTCTCCATCGCGATGGACTCTTCTTCAGTCTTGACACTTGCTGCCGTTGGCTTCGGAAGCGCGGCCAAAATGCGGCGGAGAGCCGCATAGTCCTTGCGCACAATAGCAGCATGGAGTAGGCTGTGGGAGTAGTCCACCTGCACAACAGCTGAAGAAGGGCCCGCCATAGCTCCCAGCTTTCCTCACAAACTCAGAAGGAAAAGGACAGCGAGGACACGTGGATGATGAGGACAATCAAAATGAGGATGACGACGGAGGTGATGAACAGCACACCAGCCTCCTCTTTCCCACCCTACCACGCCAAGAAGAAGAGGGAAGAGGAGGAGGAGGAGGAGGAGGAGAACTCGGCTGTTAGGGTGTCTATTTCTCAGATAAACCCGTGCACCTCGCAAGTAGCAGCAGCAGCAGCAGGAGGAGGAGGAGGAGGAGGAAAAGATAGTGATCGTGTACCCACGACCCTTCACCCGAATTCACCTGCCAATGGAAAGAATAATGAGCAGGAGAACCGAGAAGAGCCGGGAGGAGGAGGTGGTGAGCTCGGGCAGGGTCTCTATCCCTCAGAACGAGACCACCTACTTACAAAAAGAAGAATGTTGATGTGGAGGAGGAGGAGGAGGAGGATGACGATCAGATCAAAACATGCTACTTGCAACAAAAAGAAGAATGTGAAGGAGGACGAGGCAAACTTGGGTTTCTATCTGTCAGATGGACCAGTGCACTACACAACAACAACAACAAGACAAAGAAGAAGAACAAGATGTACACGGACCTCCAACCAGAACCCACCTCGCCACGTGAAGCAAAATGAAGACAACCCAAAGGAGGGAGGCGGAAGGGAGGGGGAGGAGGACGACCACGAGGAGGAATGGAGCAAGACAGGCACGGGGCGAGGTTTTGATCTCTCACAATAACACCTGCATCTTTGCCCGCCTTCCCAGACGGCAAATTAACAAAAACACACTGCCAACAGGAGCACCCTTCCTCCTCACCTCTCAGCACTCTCTCTCTCTCTCTCTCTCTCTCTCTCTCTCTCTCTCCCTCGTGCCGTATTTTAGATCACACGCCTTCCAGGCAGTCTAAGCACCTAAGCTTCCAACGGTCTGCTTTGACTCCTCCATGCCCGGTTCAATAGCCCATTGATTTCCATCCAATCCATTGATCGCATGAAAATCAGATGGAATCTGATGGCAATGAAATTTCTCCTCTCCACACCGCACCAGCTCCCATCTTGAAACGCTCTCTCGTGGCTGCCATGCCAAAACCACCCCCGGGTTTCCGGAGAGACGAGACTCTCTCCTAAGTCCCCCACTCTCGCATGCAATGCTCGCTCCCAAAACTGCAACACATCATACGGCAACACAAAAAAAACATTACCACATATTCGTACTCCCATCTCTCTCTCTCTCTCTCTCTCTCTCTCTCTCTCTCTCTC